TGAAAGGGTTGGATGTGCTTGATAGCATTCATCAATGTTGCTAATTGGAAAGAGGGTGCCTGGGATATCCAGGGTCTTCCACTGTGACAAAAAGACCCCAGATAAAATACTGTCCTCATGGCTGCCAAATTCCCACAACCCACTCATAAGCCCCTATTCCAGGCACCTGTCATTGTTAATTAGATCTGAGTGGGAAAAAAAATCTAGGAAGGAGCTGGTTGAGGGGAGGGGAGGGCTAGGAAGGAGCTGGTTGAGGGGAGGGAAGGAGAGGGGTGAGGGAAGGGGAGGGGAGGGGGGATCTTGGAAAACATATCAGAGGAACAGATGCTGCCAAACTGCTTAACCCTTTCATCAGCATCTAATTTCTCCTTATAATAAATTGTTACCCTAGAATAAAATTTGAAGGTCACAAAAATAGAGGAAATGATCACCAAGTAAATGAGCTCTTGGTATTGAACAAATTCTCCTTGTCATAATGCAAAGAGAACAGTTTGGAAGATATGCTTATTGATTTTAGAATGCAAAGGATTATGAACTCAAAGAAGCCAGCTGTAACAGAGTTGCAATATTCCTTGTGAGCCTGCACTTGAAACATTGACTGCCTAGAAGTCATTTTGTTCATTTACATGAACAGTGTTGGGCAAAAACCCTGAATTAAATTGGACAGGACAGTTAATCTGCTTTTTACAAAAAAGTTCAAGCAGTATTCACTAGCCACAGACCAATAGAAATTCAGTTTTGGCTAGTGGTTTTTTATTTCCACTAGCCAGTTTGGCTAGTAAACAACCTAAAATTGTCGTAACATCTAAGATGTCATGAACCGCTTGGCTAAGTGTGTAGCAAAGTTAGTGTCGAGCCCTGAGTGCTACAGAAGGGTACCACACAAGTAGCTTTCAGTAGATTGGAAGAATCTCATGGTAATGCCACTAAAGCTGTAACTTATTGTGCCTGTTCTATAAAGTGCTTGACTCTCAAGGAAAACATTAATATTAGTAAGAGCAGTGTTTTAACTACAGCTTGATAGCTTATTCATTCACTGAGTATAGCTGTATGTTTTAATAGGCAAGGAAGACATCGGGATAGAGGAGTACAGTTTCAGTCAGTCAACACTGGAACAGGTATGAAATTTTTCTTACCCCTTTTTGATCAACATGTTGGAGTAAAGCAACCCCAAGCAGACTTCTTACTGGTGTAAGATGTCTGCTAGGGGTCTGGCATTATTTGTGCCAGCTAGACCCCGGCAAACCTCTCCCCGATGTTGTTTGTATTTTTACTCTCCCTACTTGCTCATCAAAATACAGCACAACGCATAAAAATACTCAGCGATACCACATAACAAAACATCTTATGAGATATATATACATCTCACTTGTTTCAATTGATAACTGACCAATCAAACTGCTGACTATCAACTATAATGATATCCTCAGGTTTTTCTGGAGTTTGCAAAAGAACAAGATGATGACAGAACTGGAGCCAAAGATAACAAAGAAGAGAATGTACAAAATGGTGAATCTCACCCAGCAGTGTAACTAGAATGTCATTCGTAGAGCTTACATCACAAGACTTAGTAGAGCTTCTTCTAGAGCTGCTCTTGGTATTCAAAGTTTGCAGTTTTTAATGTTATTTCTTATTTTTGTTGACTGATTGAATTGAAAAAGAAAAGACTTAACTCAATTACACATGTCCAAAAAATAATTCCCAATGTGACAGTTCGTGACACGACTGTAACCTCCTCTAAAGGTTATTAGTATAAGGGATGTAACTAATTGTGCTCAAACCTGATTCAGTCTTCAACCAATAAAATCTTCTTTAATCATTGGATCCAAAAACAAGATCACACATTCACTCCAATCCAAGAACCCAAGGTCCTTTTTATCTGATCAAGACCATGCGGTCTGTTTGTCAAATCTGAATCACATGATAAAACTATTGTTCTGAATTCTACAGTGGAGAAGACAATTCAAATGCACGGTAGAAATCACGGTTTAATTAAATGCGGTTGGTAATCAAAATTACAAATGAAAATAAAGAGATTGATGTGTAATCATGGATGAAAAGGGCGAAGTAGAGATGGAAGATTGCAAAGTTATAATTGACAGTTGTAGCTGAATTTATGTGGCTGAATTTGTGTGGTTCGAACTAAAAGAAAATGTATCGTATCATATTAGTATTAATGTCTTGTTCGTGCGCATTTAAATTTTATATTTCCAGGAAAGCTTTTGATGTTACGAAGCTAAGGCGTCAGTCTTAAGCTGCTGATTAGCTAAGTGATTTCCGCCGATATAAATGAAATTGTATGAAACTCACGTCATTTACAGGCTCAGAAGTCGAAGAATAAATTGAAATTAAAAGCGCGTACAAATACAGCGAAGTTTACACAAACGGACTTTGGCATCCATTCTATGTTTGGTAAACCCCTTGTTTTTTGTCGACGTAAGCTTTAACGCGAGTTTCGTTATTATGAACACGATTCGCAATCAAATCTAATGAAACTTATGTCATACGAAAGGCTAGATCTTAAAGTTTATTTATATTCTAGTTTTTTTGATGTGAAATTAAGGGTGCGCGTAAACGGGCAAAATTCGGCAGAAAGCAGTTTGGCGTCCTCTAGGAGTCCCTGAAGGGCAAGCGGATTTTGTCAGCGATGTTTCCTCCGACGGCTGCCTTCGATAAATAACTGGCCATGGATCAATATAATTGTCAGAACGAAGCGGCTCTTTCTCTGGATTATTAAAAAAACGAAAAAAACTGCGTCCAAGAGAGCCCAGAAATCGAGAAGTAATATCACGGATTTCAATCACGGAAAAACGGGTGGTGTTTGATGAAGCACGAAGCGTGACATGTCTTCTCGAATGAATTAATCAGAAATTACCCAGTGACCTGTTTTTTTTTTTTTAAATCAAAAAATGATAAATTGTGCAGTGGCATGTTTTTGTCCCTCACGGAAAGATCACGTTTATTGGTGTAAATTTCACACGAGAGGCTTCACAAAGTTTAAGCTAAATCCCTAGTGGTGGCGATTTCACTTGAGTGGTGGCGAATTGACCGTAAATCGTTAGAATTAGCTTTGCATTTCCATCTACGTTTACAGGCCATCTGGCCTATGAATTTACAAACGCTGACCCGTAGTAAAATGACATTTTCTTCCCTTTCAAGTGATTTCAATTATCATTTGAACTGAAAGTGATGACCGCCGAGCCATTTCGATTTGAACGAGGAGGAACTCAGCTTAGGGCCGACTCTGAAACTTCGACCGACCCGTCTACCACCCATAACGAAGGGGCTCTCCTTTAAACCTCATATCTGGAGTTTCAAAAAGGACGAAGAGTTTAAGAGGCGAAAAAGAGGCGGCGAACATTCATTTGATGATCTTCGTTATTGCCGATATCTACGAAAGAGAGGGCAGTCAAGGGCGGTCAAGGTCTGATACGACTGAACCAAAGAAATGACATCAACAGCGCCGATCTGCGGGTTCTCTACCTTCGTAAAGACTAGGCAACGTCAAGAAATAAATGCAATGGAAAAAAGAACAACTGGTTTCGAATTGCGCTGATCGAAAGTACTCTTGTTACGAAACGAAACGGATCATTTGCATTCAGGTCTTGCACTTTTTATGGAATGCACGGTACAAGCCATGGGAGGTTTCTTTAATCAACACAAGGTTTTTGGAAGTTCACAACACGAAATAACAAGGAAGAAACAACAGATGATGCGCCGTCTGGCAAAATAATCAAGGGAGAGTAACACCAGGACAAAGAAAACAGGAAAAGGCTGTTATGAATATTTGATATGTGGTCAAAAAA